ACTCAGACAGATAGATTGATAGACAGAAAGACAGACAGACAGACAGAAGGATAGACAGAAAGACAGACAGACAGAAGGATAGACAGAAAGACAGACAGACAGAAAGACAGAAGGATAGACAGAAAGACAGAAAGACAGACAGACAGATAGACAGACAGAAAGACAGAAGGATAGACAGAAAGACAGACAGACAGACAGACATACATACAGACAGACAGACAGAAGGATAGACAGAAAGACAGACAGACAGACAGACAGACAGACAGAAAGACAGACAGAAAGACAGACAGACAGACAGACAGACAGATATATAGATAGATAGATAGACAGACAGACAGACAGACAACAGACAGACAGACAGTAGATAGATAGTTCTGTCTGTCTGGTGTTTGAGATTGGAGATGAACTCTTTACCTCTGTTCCTTTTGGCCCTGGTGGTCCCTGGGGGCCCCGGGCTCCTTGAATACCCTAAACACACACACACACACACACACAGATTCTGTGCAGTGAGGAAAACTGGGAAAAAACATGTTTTTTTCATTCAAAGACTGAGATACATATTGGGTGAGAGTAACAAATGAGCTCTAGTGAGGGGCCTCGCTGTCTACTATTGAGGCAGCATCATGAGAGAAACTAAACCTAAAACCTCAGAAGGCAGCATAACATTGAACAAATATGAGGTTGTATAGGCATCTAGGTAGGCTGCTGTCTAGACGGTCATGATTTTAATTAGAGAACATGTGTACCTTTGGTCCTGGGGGGCCGTTGGGCCCTGGTGCACCAATGTCTCCTGGGAAACCCTATAAAACATGGAGAGAAATACATAAAGAATACATAATTAGCTTCACCTTACATTCACCTTATACAGTATAATAATAATAAATTTTAATAATTAATAATAATTATTATTATTACTACATAATAATTTATATAAATTATTAATTAATTGTAATTATAATAAATATTATTTATAATAAAATTATTTTTTATTTTTATACTAATAGTATATACTGTATGTGATAATAATAATAATCAGGAACATGCATTAACAAAAGTAAAAAAAAGTCATGTCAAGTTCTTGTTGACTTATAAGGAGGATATTGCTCCACAACAGTTCCTTAGAAATGTTAATTACATTCATTTGCAGGCAGGAATGTATAGGCTTAGATCTCTGCCACAATTCTGCGTGCGAAAGATCATATTTTGAGCGCACAAAAGTGCATTTTGCATGTGCGCGATCTGAGTTTTGTGGAGAAAATGTTCGTTTCGCAAAGAAAACAAGCACATATTACCAATTCCAACATCAATCTTAATAACTACTATTAATCTTGTATTTAATCATTTATAATTGATATATAATTATTCATGAAGGCTGGAAGTGAAAAATGTCTTATATTCAAGTGTGCATAATTATTAAGCAGGTTATCTTTTACAGAAAAAATGAGCCAAAAAAGAGATTTAATTGTGGCAGAGATGTAATCCCATAGGAATGTAGCTACAGCATGACACGAGCATGAAATAACACAGAAGTGCCACTAGAGGGCAACTTCCTAGCCACCTAGTTGCTATCAAACTAGCACGCGAGACGCTAAACTCTTGCGCTGGATGAGTTTCATTCCTCTGCCGCACAGATGCTTCTGCGTTTACTCTGATAAAGCTGCGAGGAGCCATGATCATGTTCGGAATTAACGAAAGACAAATGCAAAAACTAACACAAATAACAAGGAAGTAGACATGCCTTCCAAAAAAGACACAATTCAGGCTATTTATTGGAGACTATAAACAGCTGTAATGTGATTAATGCTTTGTTGTATTGAAGAAGGTTTGGGCGTCTGATGGCCACATGCACTGATCTAATAAGAGCGTCGCTCTCAAGTCTGCTCCAAATCTTTCATTGTCTATTATTGGAGATATAGAGCGACGACTGATATTTAGGTCGTTTTATGTCAGTGTCTGCTGTACTGATATAAAGATCTCATTGATTTACATCACGAGCAAACTGGACGCTTGTTCCTGACTCAATCAAAACCAAACCTCCACACAATCCTGACAGTTGTCCTGAGCTCTGGTTCTCACCTCAGGCCCTGGTGGCCCCGGAGGCCCCTGTGGTCCCGGGTCACCTGTTTTCCCCTTTCAGAGAGAAAACATCATATATATATATACATCAAAAGAGATCATAGTTCAGTCTCTCTCAGATTTCTAGCCAGATTTGCTGGTTTACTGACAATCGACAGCATTCGTATTGAACACAGAGGGTCTTACGAGAGGTCCTGGTTTTCCGCGTGGCCCCGTCGGGCCTGGATTACCAGCCGTCCCCTGAAAGAGAGACACAAACAAAACACAAGTCTCCTCGCTGTCTGCAGAAACCACCCAATCCATCTTCACACACTGCATTCCCACACATTCAGACCAACCAATCTCCATCACTTAACCAGTAGTTCATGATTTTTTCAAATGTCTCACTCAAAAAATATGTACAATTTTTGTATTTGAATTGCACTGTTTAAACGTAATATGATTCATATTTGTCAGTCATACATGAATGAAACAGGTCAGATTTCTGTAATAGGACTACTATACTGAATGTGTTTTAAAGGCACAATAACCAGCTTTATATATTTATCATTAATACATCCAATTTGTTTCAATCTCATACATTTTAACTCATTGAATATTGCTCGTTCCCCAGCTAGTCATATTTTAACCATGTTAAAAAAAATTTTAATGGAGCAAATGTTATTTTTTTCCACAATGAACAGAGCTATGCTTATTCTAGGCAGTTAAAAGTACATTTTAAAAATTACAAATATTTATATAATAATCGAAAATAATTTTTTTAGTACCGGTAATTAAAAAATTAAAAATATTTTTTTAATAATATAAAAATAAAAATGTGATATATATCACATTTTTATTATCATGTTGTTATTTTTGTAAATATTTGTAATCTTTATATATATATATATACTTCCTAAAAATAGACTTAATTTTCTATAGCAAAACACCATTTCTTTTAATTTTACGATAAAATATGGATATATAAAATATATATAAATAAAAATTAAAATGTTATTCTATTTAAATAGATGCAATAAAAACCACGCTAAATATAAAATGCAAAAGGTATAAAAATAATACAAATAATATTAAACAAAACAACTGATTATTTAAATTATAAATTAAATTAAATATTCCTCATTTGTAAGTCACTTTGGATAAAAGCGTCTGCTAAATGACTAAATGTAAATGTAAATTTAAATAGATGCAAAAAGTTAATAATAAACTATGCAATGACTTTTTAAGAATCTGACCAGTTTCATTTATTTATGACAGACAAGCATGTAACACATAAAGCATAATAGTTTTTTAGTATATGTTAAATCTGTGAAATTCAAATGAATGGATATTTAACATGCAATTCAAAAGCATAAATCTTAAAGGCCTAATAATGCATTTGTAGAGATTCCTGCAGCAGATTCCTATCATGCACCAAACTTTCAGACACAAGGGAATATACTAATCAGTGTATAAATATCAGACAGACAGACAGCTATTTCATGACCATATAAACCAATCGTACTGTCTCATCTTGACACTCACCTTGTCGCCCTGAAAGCCAGTCTCTCCCGGTTCACCCCTCAATCCAGGTTCAGCCTAAATCATACAGCATCAGGATTACAGAGTAGAGAGGAGACATAGGACCAGAGCACAGCATGCCTGAACTGGATCTCATGTATGCATATATACTGTATCTACAGCAGCAGTCAAGAGTTTGCATACAGTTTCCACGTGTTAGAATAATACTGCAGTGATGAAAACTCAGAAATAACACAAATGACTGTCTGGAAACGATGTGATGAAAACCAAAACCTTTTCATATTTGGGCTTTTCTTTGTCTAGATTCCAGCCAGTGTTATTTTATTATTATTGAGATACAGTTTCATAGATTTTTTAGTTTAAAAAAAAAAAGTTTTTATTTTTGTACTTTCATTTTAATTTTAGTTAAAGATTTTGTCATTTAAATTTTTTTTTTCATTTTTTAAATATATATAAATTTTTTTATTTCAGTTTTAGTTTTAGTTATTTTAGTACATCATGTTAAAATAAACGAGAAACACTGCAGGAAACTAGCTGAAATAAAATAAGTTTAAGGCTATTTATTTATTTATTATCTCAGTTAACATACAT